TGGCCAGGATATCCAAATGATATATCAGTATATGAAAAAAAAAAGAAGAGTTGCAAAATGGGCTTAGAAGCATCTACATCACAATAACTTGAGTCATCTAACCATGTCTTTTATCCCTTTTTACTCTAATGTCAATATGTTTTTTTCCCTGTACTGTTCTTTATAAGGTGTTCACAAGAATATATTTTTTTTCAATCAAGAGCTTCTGAAGTTCTTGATCATTTCCTTTATTCTCGTGACCTTAATATGTGACTCAGGGGTGATATTGTAAGGAGAAATAAGACGCTGGTCATTCCAAGGGGTTCAAGGGTTGACCAGTGATATCATACAAGTCCAGGTTCACTACCTTCAGATTTTAATATCACTCAAGCCGTTATGTTATCCTCTATGAGACTGCTGCCCCTCACTATGCTTATCCAAGGAGAAGTAATATTGCAGTCGTGCATATTTAGATAGTATAGCACCTAACAGGGACCGTTTTTTCCAGACGGACAGCGGATTCTTTCGTGCGGCGCTGACCACTTCATGAGAGTAGTGGACGTCCATACAGGAACAGAGGTGTATTCCAAAGATGTGGGCGAGGAAATTAGGTGGGTTATCATAATCATCTCCCTTTCTTTTGTCCGCAGTAAAAGAAAATGAGTTTTATATGTTTACGATCCTTACTCGCATTATTGTCAACTTACACCGAACTTTTTTGTATTATTTTGCGGATCTATTACTAATCAAATGTACTACATTTTACTTTTAGTCTGTCATGTTAAAGTTGAGATATTAGAGAGATTTAGCACCGCGTTTACGTCAAACGTGAACGGCAAGAGTGACGTCACCTTATTTTTCCCGCTTTTGTTTTTTTACGTTTGCCGGTGGCGCTTTGCCGTTTCTACGTGATAGCTGCTTGTTTCGCGTTTGCCGAGTACGTAAGATTTTCTTCACTCTTTCTCTCACAGAGTAGAAGTTAATTGCCACAAAAAGGGCACCAATACTGTTCCATGTAAGTCATACAAGGACACCTTCAAATACACCTTGACGTGAGCTTACGCGAGGCTAAAGCAGCAAGGCTCACGCTGTTTTACGTGAAACGTGCAAGGGCAAGCTGACGTTTGCCGTTTCACGTAAACGCGGTGCTAAATCTCTCTATTTTTTTTTTCATTTAAGTGGTCACCTGCTTATACTGAATTTCAATTCCACTCTTTCATCTCAAATCACGAATGTAAATTAGAGCTGATTTTGATGTCAGGAGGCCCACACTAAACTAAACAAATCTTACAGTAAATACATGGGATAACAGCGTATGCTCAGTCATACGTAAACTTACCCCCAACTATCCCTCAAACCTCACAAGTGTTACCGTGGGTGACATTTAACATCCAACTCAAATTCCCCCAAAATCGCCCCTGGTGACTCTTAGGCAAAGAACTCATATGAGGCACGGAAAATTACATTTTGCATTGTTTGCATGCTTATGTTTAGGGTTTCGTCGATGAAGTGACTTTTCATGTCTTTTTATCAGATGCGCCGTGTGGGACGGTCAGATGGTACTCGCCGGTGGAGAGTCCGGCTACCTCCAAATCTGGGATCTGATAAATGTGCAGGAAGTCAGCAGAATCACTGCTCATGAGGGTAAAATGCATCAAAGATTTTAGCGTTTTATTCCACGTTGATGTCGGAATTATGAGTTTCTGTTGATTACAAACAAGAGAGTATGGAGCTGACAGCCCTTTCAGACTGTTCCAAGCCTTCAGTTTATAAAACGGATCGAAACAGGAAACGGCGCGATAGTCAGTTAATAGCGGCAGAGTGAAAACGAGAGAGGTTTGGGTCGGGTCATTACGCGACCCGACCCAAACCTCCCTCGTTTTTTCACTATTACGTTACTATCGCGCGTAGTTTTACCAATTGAAGGCCTGGAATAGGTTAGGGGTCCCTTCAAAGGCTTTATTTCAAAGGTAGTTCGTCTTATGTCTCAGTTTTAGTCGATTCTAGGAGGATATAGAAATGATCAATCCTGTTTCGAAAATTCTGCTCAGGTAGATATTCTAAATGGTGTCTTTTGTTTTCCAACAAAACATTTGAGCAAACTGAAAAGCGAGAAACATGTAATGTTATTCCCAAAAGCTTAGCACAAAGGCACACGATACACAATATTCAGTGTCTCTTGGCCTAGTATTGGAATCGCCGCTTCAAGCTTTCTATGTTTCATGCTCATCAACCTGTAAACGGAAGAAAATGGATCCGATTTCAAACCCTTACCCCTTTACTCTGATGTAAGCTCTAGCCAAGCTTTCCTAGTTTTGAGTGTTATTCAGTTCTTAAATTCGATATTCCAGGACTTTTTTTTTAAATTACGTTTTTTGATCAAGCTTTAAAAAGCTTGACAACTGATCCTAAAATGGAAAACGTAGTTAGATTAGCACTGCTTTAAAACACATTTTATTTAATTTTTTTTTTTTTTTTTATTGCTTAACTGATTCCGATTGCAAGCGCCCTCTAACCCTGGGGAAGATTTACAATTCAAAGGCTTATTAGTGGCAGTTTGCGATATTCGACCCAGAAAAGTTTTTTCATCGATGTTTTAATTTTAAGACAAAAAGGGAGACCACACAGGTACATGGAAAGGCTAGTCTTCGGCATGAAATTACTTGATTGAAATCAATTTTCTTTCTCTTTTCTCTCCAGGAGCCATTCGATGCATTGATGTATCAAGTGATGGCTGTACTGTAGTCACCGGTGGAGAAGACGGTCAAGTTATAATGTGGAAACTTCACGTTTGATTGAGATAATCCGTCGCCCGTCATACTGCCAGCCGACAATATTTCATTTCCCAAAATGGTATAAGCAGTGACTCGTGTTCCCCTTCCCATCATCCTTTCTTCTTAGCCGCATCCCCGAATCGAAAATATGAAAAAGACTGGGGACGAGTTTTACTCCTGGAACAATTAAAGTTAAAAAGAGAATCTGGATAGCACCTTCCAACAGAGTCATGCATGAGTTATCAAGAATCCAGGCTGGTTAATTAGAAATTAAGTTGCTATCCGACTGAAGAATTTTGAGATCGGCGGACAAATTATTATTTTTTTTAATAATTGGTGGATCATTTTGACCGGCGCAGCCGAAAATTGTTCGCAAAAGCTCATAATGAAGTATATATCATTCAGAGGTGGTTTGAGAGACCAGATTAGTGTTGTAAGAGACCGTGATTCGGTTTACAAATGCCACTAGAGAGATTTTCGGTCAAATATTTTGCCCTGTAAAATATACTGGAGACATTTTAAAGAGAAACATAACATAATGTCAGGCAGAACTGCCTCACGACTTAAATTGTAAATGTGGTAAATGATATTAACTTTAACCATTTTTTGCATGCAATGACTACATTCCTCAGGGAAACAACATTTTAGATGAAAAAAAATAATTTGATAATATTTATTTGGGAAGTTATGCTCTCACGACGAATTCATAGAATTAATGGATAATCCACTTGATCTTTCTCTCGATATATGGTGGTACTGGGGTTTTGTGCTCCATTTCCCCCTTCCCCCTTTATCCCCTACCCCCTCTTGTCTTTCCCCCCACTCTGCCCACCACCAAATCCCCTTACTTCAGGATGTTGGTTTGTCACTGAGTTGACTGAGCCAGTAACATAGGGGGCTGCTAGTTTTTTGGGCTATTCATTATGTGTAATTTGTAATTAAAAAAAGTTAAACTCGGCAATTGAAGTCGTGGTTCTTCTGTCACACTCCACGCTTTTCTTGAACTCTTCGTTTTAAATGTATTTCAGACGAATTGAACTCGGTGTAATTCAGTTGAGTGATCTAGAGTGCATGTGCATTTCGAATTCGCCTGGGTAAGTAGGCTCTTGTAGATTGTGCTAGCATAATTTGGAAAAATGAACAATTTTTGCTCTTTTTAAAAAAAGTAGCACTGTTAGCATAATCAGCCTAATTTTAGGCTTTTGAAGGTAGCTTTATTAGAGTTATGACTTGTTTGGTCTCCGAGATTGATTATTTTCAAGTTCGGCCCATGTTTCAGACCATTTTCAATTTTGTAATGTCTTGTGGGAAGTAGGTTGCCACATTGTACTGAATCGTTCGTCGTGTAGAAGACTGGGCACACTGGAAGTAAAGATTGCGTCGATCCCAGTTCTCTTTCCAGGCAACCAAAATGGCGAAGTGATGGCAGCATGTTACATATCATGACATATTAAGTTGCCGCCACTTGTCTGAAATTAAGTGCAGTGGTTGATAGAGTGTTATTAGAGCAGGTATACAAACAAAAATAAAAAGGATGTCATGCTTTAGTAACAACTATTTAATTAAGACTTGTTTTGTGTCTTTTTTGAAATGCATGCTGTGTGAAAATGTAGAATTATTTTTTTTATAAAGGATCACAATGTTGATAATTTTGAAAAAGATCACCGCTAGTAGCATAATATGCTAACTTTACCAGCAAAATTCAGAAGGGTCTAGTCGAAAGACCAAAACCAAAGTAATCACAACATTTCAACAGAAAATCAGGGCAAAGGATGATCCGCAAACGTAAAAGTATGAAAATGAATGAAGGAGAAATGATCAAAAATCCTTATTCGAGAACCGAGTCCAGAATTCAACACTTTTTTCTTTAACGGCTGATAGTTTCTAAAGAAACTGTTTGGGGCTGCGTCGGTGGGGGTAACGAAATAATTTGGATATATCAACAAAGTTGAAGTGGTAAATTGGCCACCGTAACGGATTACAAAAGCTGACGTTCCGAGCGTTAGCCCTTCGTCGGAGTGAATAGAGAAATTGTGAGTTGTATGTGCTTTTAAAGGCTGAAAATGGAGCTACGTTATTGCCACATTCCCACTAATAACCGTAGCTCCATTTTCTGCCTTTAAAAGCACACACAACCCACAATTCCTCTATTCGCTCCGACGAAGGGCTAACGCTCGAAACGTCAGCTTTTGTAATCGTTACATACATCTTATTAACCAAGCGCGAGGGCCGTACTGGGAGAATATCGGCCCGAGGTCTTGACAGTACGGACCGAGCGCAGCGAGGTCCGTACAAAAAAGACCGAGGGCCGATATTCTTCCAGTACGGTCCCGAGCAAGCTTGGTTAATAAGAGATTTATTATACGACTGAAGTTCAAAGGGACACAAGTGCGGTATCATTCGGGACCATTCGGGACAGTGCCCGGTCCAATACTGAGAGAATATTGACCGGCAATAGAGCATTTTGATTGGTTGATTTTAGTTATTGGCCCTCTGACTGCCCGAGTCGTGTAATAAGGTGGCCAATTTACCATTTCAACTTTGTTGATATATCCAAATTATTTTCTTTAACCCCACGCAGGATCACTTTCTCATGTCGCCACTAGTTTCATTAAAGAGACTCATTGGAAACATTGGAATCATTTCAAGTTTCTTCGATATGGTAGCACAAACTGAGTCTAACATGAAACCAAAGCAATCGTGCTGTAAGGAAAAAACAGTGTTTCCTTCTTAGTAGTTTTTGTATTGTTCAAAGATATCTAAAGAACCTGGAGGGCTCGGCTCATAGGGACCCATCCTAGACTGGACTGGGGTTGGAAAGGAAGGTCCACGTGCAACAAAGAGTGTACCTCGGAATTAATGGACAAATGAGTTTTTTTTTGGCCAGAGGAACGCTTAGAAGTAGTAGCATAAACGACAGTGATTTTTTCACTCTACGTGTCTGAGCCATTTCTATGAACTTTATGGTTGTCATGTGTTTGCCGATGCTTTTGTACAAATGTTCAGTATACCCAGGGCTCGACACTAACTTTTCAACTTAATTACTAGCCAAGCAGCAAGTGACATCTTAGATGTTACGACAATTTCAGTTTGTTTACTAGCCAAACTTGCCAGTGTCGAGCCTTGATACCCATTTTCTCGAATAAGCGCCCGGACGCTTACTTAAAATATTTCGGGAAAAGGGGGCTGGGGTTTATTCTTCTGAACTGATTCCGCAGTAGTTGAAGCTGAAAAAAATTGTAATTAAGTGGCAATAGAAACAGATTTGCTTGTATACCTTCAAAAGCTATCCACTGATGAAAAGGGGAGGGAAATTTCGAGAAAAAGAAAAGAGGTAACCCGCGAGTCAAATTATTTTATAACATAGCTTGCAAATTCGTCCAGTCAAATTCAATTGCGCGAGTGTGCTTCAGTTTCCCATTTTGGACAGTGATGACGTCAGCAAAGAAATGCCTCGCGAAAAAGACTTTTTTCTCGCGAGTGACTTCAGCATTTTTCATTTGACAAAGTTCGTTTACACGCATGAATTCACATGTCAGTTTTTGACCGATCGAGGCGAGGTCATTGAAGCATAGCGAAATACTTTTCTGAAACAAAAAAAAAAACAACGCATTGAAGCGCAGAAGAGGGAATTTCTGCCCTTTATACATAAACTAGAGGGATGAAAATGTTATGAAACAATTGGTTCATGCGTCAGGATGCGTTCATCGAGAATTAAAGCACGCGATAAGTTTGTAAAAAGAAAATTTCAAAGTGAAAAGAAAGAGAAATGCAATTAACAATTGGTTCATGCATCAGCGTGCGTTCATCGCGGGAAGTTTATAAAAGAGAAATTTCGGAAGAGAAAAGAAAGAAAGAGAAATGCAATTAACAATAGGCCCATTGGTTCGTCAGCGTGAGTTGATCGAGAATTGAATACATATTTAACAATTATTCCACGAGCGCGCGTTGGATATGAGATGATAAATAGCCAACAAGCGCGAGTGAAATAATTGTTTTATTACAAACGTTACATTAAATTATTACATTTTATTAAATTTTTAGCTCCCTTTTAATTTTAAGCTGACGCGTACGCTTACCATATGGTAGATTATGGTATATTGGCTCATATACCATAATGGCTAAGCCAATAAAAAGTCTTGAATTGCATTATC